AGAGATAGAAATATCATTCGCACCTGCGCACGCATCCGGAAATGACGTCATGCCCCGAGGCCAGTGTGACCGAGTAAATTAGCAGAAGCATGCGAAGGGTAGAGTGAGACCGCGGGCGGGGCGAGGCACCGATGGGTGCTGCTGCAGGGAAATTAGGCCTAATGATCCAAGCAGGAAGACGCCTAAAGAAGAATATTAAACTGTTTTATTGGCCACCTAAAGGCGTTTCTAATGAATTCATCACACCGTTTTACGGTCTTCCGTTCTGGTAATTGCATCTGATAGCGTCTCTTTGTGCCGCGGGGGATTTTCTTGAAATGTTCGTCTGCCCAAATAAATGGGAGAAGATTATAATAGTTAGAGGTAGATGCTATCAAAGAATACATTTTTGAACAATTTATAATACGGATAATTATTATTGCTTTGACATTTGTTTGTTTAAAATATTTTCCCATGTGCGTGTTCTGAAATATCGTCTTTAACACGGCATGTTTTTTATATTATCAATGGAAATATATATATATTTATAATGATGGGTTTGATACATAGGAGATCTATATATTTGATAATTATTCTAAATTATGATACGTGTCAAAATATGATCATTTTTCTTGTCAAAATAAGATCATTTTTCTATCTTTTTGACATCCTCATTAATTTCTCTTTTATTTTGACACTAAGCCATCTGTAGTGCATTTCCATGATACTCACGGTGGGTGAACTTAAGTTTTCGCTTTCACCACTAGTACACCATATATATGTCTATACACGTAGAATTATAATCATCATTCATTATATATAAAGAGGAAATTGGGAATGGGACTATACAACTTTGCGTTCATTTTAACAATGGAAGCATTTCTTGAAAATAAAGATACTTCGGGCCAATAAATCTTTTTATTACCTTGACGTTTCGAAAAAAAAACCTTTGGCCTCGTCAGGAGCAAACAAAAATTAAAACATTTGGCAAGGCGTTAAAAATTATTTTAAAGTTCCAAGGGCGTTCTCACGCGATATTTCAAATTTTGTACAGCATCTAAAGCACGGGGCAAAAATAAATATTTAACTCACAAAAGACTATGATCTTTGAAAGTATCTTTATTTTCAAGAAATTTGAATGCAGGTCAGGCAGCCTCTATCTTTACGTTAATGGAATCATTGTTGTTGGAATGTATAAAACATCAAGTCGACTTTTGATTGAATATATGGACAAATATTCTTCAATTTGATCTGTTTTGACTTTCACTCGCAGCTCATCTTGTGACCTTAGGATAGTTTTCTTCGCCCCTTCTTGTCAGCTCATTTCAGGTCTTCCTTTCTTCCTTCACCATCATTCAGCGGCCCCCTGACCTGCAGAGCTGGATCTTCGGGCATGACCCGGAGGATGACGCCTTAGCCATCATGGCATCTGCCAAGACCCACATCTACAAGCACTTCCTGGGCCTGGAGATGCGGGGAGTCCAAGAAAAACCTACCTCGTCTGGAGGAGGATCTTATCAAGATGGTAGAGCCTCCATAGCTCCTAAAATCATTGTACATTCTTATCATTTATTCATTTATATTGTGGCGAAGAAATATTTTATTATTTAATTTAATAGTATTCAATGAAAATATATTCAACAGATTATAAAAATATATATTAATCTGTATTTGTGAAATCATATTTAAAATATTTCTTTGCTTGCTTGCTTAAGATTCTCTAGCTGTAAAATAGTTTTGGCTGACCTGTTAATAATTGTCGACTCGTCGCTGTGACGTCATCAATAAATACTTTTACATCTTAGGATATTTCAAGGCTTGATTTCTACGCTACAATATTATCATTTTTATTATATTTTTTTTAATAAAAATTGACTGATCGCCAATAAAATCATTTCAAATTTCAATTTTAACATCTTTTCTAATATATTAATCTCATTGTATGTCTGAAGTAGGTCAGTCTTTTTTACATATTAGAGATTCTAAGGATCATATGGAAACATATGCTATCCTCTTTCAAGGTCTTTGAACAGTCAAACTGGACCAAACAATCTATACTATGGATTAGTACTGAATTTCATCCATTTTTCACTTGTAATATCTATTTTACTTCAAATTTTCCAAGGCTCTCAGCTTTTGTATTGTCGCTTTTTTTTGCCACCAATTTATGCCAGGTGTTTCAGAAATTCTGTTACATGCTTTCAGCAGGTGGCGCGCATGTAAATTCAACTGCCACATGTTTATTAGTTGTTTTTTTTTTTTTGGCTAGCCAATAGAAATAAGTCGGTATTTATATGGATGGATGGGTAATCGGGAATTGCAATTTCATATTACCTTTATGTGATTATCTTTAAAAAAAATAATAATAACAATGTTTATTACTGGTACTATTTTACTGTTACTCCTATATGTACCCTACATTTCTACTTGGAGAATCTGTTATAAGACTGAAATGTTTGAATAAAGCATTTTGTTGTTGTTGTATTCGGGAATTTATTTATTTCAACACACAAAACGCGATATCCCGGCTAGGGATAATTGCGTCGATTTACATTTTTTAAACAGAAACAGTTATAAATATATTTATACAAAAAAAAGTAATCGAAATAAAAAGAGAAACAATAATATATATTAGGAACCTGAACCTTTCAGGTTAGAAAGAAAATCATAAATATATTTACAAAAATAGTTAAATCTATGATAATTCTCTCTGCTATTTACAAATTGATATAGATCTACAACCTTGTTTATTGTCTGTTGTCTAGCGCTAAAGGGAATTGCTTGGGAAATAAAATGAATTGGAGAGTTTTGGGAAAATCGAATTATAATTAATGCACTTTACAATATAAGCAAGGGGTTATGATATAAACCGTCGATATTAGATAGCCATGTCCCGGGGTTTCAATGCCCCCGATTCTTTCAAAAGTTCAGTCTCACCAGTAAGTGCAAGCAATCAAATGGGTAAATAACACATTTGTAAATACTAACGTCGAACTGCTTTCTACATGCGTAGACATGTGGAGTACTTACAGTAAAAATGTCGATAACTACCCACCATGATTATGATGGAATACTTGGGATAAGTACCTCCACAACAAGATGAACAAAACTAAGTGTGAGATATATACACTCATGGACACATCCTAGGAAATTTCATGTCTCTCGATATACGATGCCAAAAGGTACAACTTCCTCAAGTTTTGTCCATGAGTGTATTTTCCAGACGAACCATCTACAAAGTAATCCATGCAAGATTAACAGAAAAGGTTGTTGGGAAAGAAGTAAAGAGATTCGTAGAAGAGAAAGATCCTTTATTACTGAAAGATATAAAACAATAAGGAAGGACAAGAGATCAAATTATATATACATCAGCAGCTCACGCCGGCCTGTCCTATCCAATAACCACTAGCCAACTAACAATCCAACAAAGCTGCGCTATATAGACAGATATGTCAATTAACATAGACTATACTGAAATGGTATACAAATCACAAGAGTATTCTAACGTAGAAATATCTAGAATTGACACTTTCAACAAAAGTAAAATTATATTTAGTATAAATATTACCACACAGCAATTATTAGAAAAACGATTATAGATATTAATAAAATGAAAGGATTTAAAAGAACGAATGTTTTTTTATACATAATACAAACTTCTACTGTCCTTACTGCGATGAAAAAATATATTGGAAGGGCTTGGCTCATCAGTGGTGAACCCTCCCAGCGGTTTCGTCAATTTAATCCACCAGACCGCTTCTCAGAGCTCTAATACTGTATTGGAAGATTCTGCTTATATACGCAGTACTGAAGGACGGAATCTCAGAAATGGTTTTCAAGAAAACTATGGACATAAGCTTATAGGACAGTAGATTTGTATTATGTATAAAATAAATATTCGTGCTTTTAAATCCTTTCATTTTATATGTATAGATGGCGTGTTATTGCTTCGTATTAATATATATTAATGTACTTTATCCTCAATCAAATCTGTATATTCAAGTTATAAAAATACCTAAACGACAAAAGGGAATGTGTCACTGTAAGAGATAATGTCACATTAAACGTCGCCAGCACAACCAGCTGAATATTTCAGTGACACCAAATCTTTTTAAGCACGAACTGGCAGTCTAAGTTCTTCGTGTCTTTAAATGATTATTTCCACGCCTCCAATTTCTGGAGCCTTGGATTATTTTGTCAAAAGTTGTGAATAACTTCGATGTATATCTAAATAACTTCTCTGTAGTTTTGATATAATATATATTGGTTAATGGATCTAATATGGGGTTTATGGATAAAACTTAAGCCTTTCAGCATGTATATCGGGATTCAGACACTAGATCTGAAATATATTACAGTGACCTTTATTAAAGACACACGAGATAACCAAGTTTGAACAAAATCACCTCTGACTCCTTTAAAAATATATAGACGACAGGCGACGTCAAAGACTGAGGTAATAAAAGGCTACAAGACCAAAAATCGAAATTATTGAAAGTTTTGTAACATTGCATTAACAGAGATTTGTTACAATCATCAGCAAAAGTATTGAAAAAATGAATGTTTCAGTATTCATTCAGTACTTTTATCTGATGGTAACAAAGCTGCTACCATAACGTCACAAACATGTCAATAATTTGAATCTTTCTACTATTTGTTTCTAATATATATATTTACGGAAGAGCGATTGCTCGAAGCATAATATATATTTATAATTGTATGTAATTCTACTGTCCTTAAAGCTTCTGTCCATAGTTATTCTAAAATACCCATTCCAAGAGTCTACCAACAGTATCACTATAAAAGGAAGTTCCAAAAATGCAATATAACAGCGGTATGGTAGATTAAACTGGCGAAACCGCTGGGAGGGTTCACCACTGATGAGCCAGGCCCTCCCATCAATTTTTCCATTGCAGTAAGGGCAGTAGAAATTGTTTAATTTCAAAAAGAATCTTACGCCTTTAAAATAGTTTCGAATTTTAATAATCCAAATTGATAGATAGTTATAATCAATGAATGTGTCCAAGGTAACTTAGTGGACATGGCATCTGCCCGTTAAGCGGAATACTGTGGGTTCGATTCCCATCCCTGGATACTTTTATTTTCTGTTTATCATTTATCATTACTCTTCACAATTCATCCTTTCATACTTCATCCCTAAGGTTAGAAATAATCGTTATTTCTCCTTAAAATAAATTCCAATTTTTCGTTCAAAAGAAACATATGCGGGATAATTTCAAATGTCGTTCTACAATCATAGACCGCATTATATTGTAAAGAAGAATTATAGAGACCGAGAAAGTTGCATAGAGAAAGAAGTTAGATAACATTCTATTCAGGCTACATTGTCTAACATACGATCTTCACTTCTTGCGTCGGTTAAGTCCTGGAAACTCAGTGGTCACATCGCCGTCCTCTCTCATTGAGAAACATAAAAACTCCAAGATAATAACTTGATATAGATGGAAATAGGTAAATATAAGTATATTTTAATCTTATCTTTAAATGATACTTCATTACTATTGTATGGTCGAAAGTTTTTTTTTTTTTTAATTATCCCTAGTACACGTGGTACAAGCCATGATAATCATGGTGGGTAGTTAGCGACTGCTTTTTACTCTAAGCGCACCACATGTCTACACATGTGAAAAGCAGTTAGACTTTGCACTTACAAATGTACCAGAGCCCCGTTTGGTTACTTGCACTCGCTGGTGGGGTTGGATTTTTGCAAGAATCGGGGGCCATTGGAGCATTTTTTTTTTTATCAGAAAAAAAGTGTCCAATGCGGGAATCGAACCCGGGTCGTAGTGGTCGAAAACCAAACGGTTTAACCAGCTTTACACCGACCCTCTCGAAAGTTTTAAAAAGGTTTAGTTCATTGGGAACTTTTTACCGATATGCAGAATCTTCTGATTCTATATTTGACAAATCTTTTCAAGATTAAAATAATGTGGGCAAAATTTTCGTAGCTAGATTCAAATATCAACAAATTGTAATAAGAAAAATAGCTCTTTATTTAAAATAAAGTAGCACTAATTTATAGAAATAATGAATAATCTATATATCAAATAATTTTCCGATATTTTCCGATTTCCAGACGTATCCATCATTCTGGTAGATTTTTCTTGAGAAGAATGGATAAGAGAAAGGAAACCCCTGTTGAAAGTCGCCATAAAAAGACAAAAGGATCGATTGGGGCATATATTACGAAGGAAAAGATTGATAAAGAAATTTATGGAGGGTAAAATGAATGGGAAGAGAATAATTGGAAGGAAACATATTGGTCTGATGGATTGGGGATGGGGAATAATTAAGAAACACATAGAGAAGAGCAATGCGGAAGAACATTGCTCGATACAAATATTTATTTAATTAAAAAGGCATATATTGGATCAAAATATCATTTATTTTACCAATATTTCAGTTGCGAGAAAAAATCTCCCCATTGAATATAAAAAAAATATTTTAAAAACTTAATGCTGTTGACGTTATGTGGCGCTGAGTTTGTTATTAACACACTTTAAAATGTTATAACACCTTGATAAAGGTTGGCGTTCAGCCAACTGAAATATTGGTAAAATAAATTATATTTTGATCCAATATATGCCTTTTTAATTAAAGATTTATCTATGGATTGCTCTATCTTCAAAACAAATATTTATATGTAATTCTACTTTCCTAAAACCTTTATAGTAAGGTCTGGGAAGGGTTGTGTTTGATTTGGTTATTTTAGGTATTCAAGCGCATTGTGATGAAGCGTCCGTGAATATTTTAATTTTAAAATGGGTAATTGAGAATGTTCAGTTGTGTGCCTGGTAATCAATTTTGTATAGGATTTTCATTTTAGGATTGAGTAATTTGATTGCTCAAGTGTTTATTGATTAAATTCGGGAATGATTATAATTATAAAATGGTATAGAGACTTCGAGTTGATTCCGTTGGTTTGTTGCCATTCGACATCGCAGACTTCCAGAATTGCTGCAGGTGCGTTTTACACCTTCCTCGGGAATTCTTTTGGCAGGTCTTGGCGTGCGTGGCTAACGATCTTCTTAATGGACATCCGGGGATGTTTCCACAGAGGCAGACGCTTTTCCAATGTCGTTTGACGCCTTGTTATCTTTATATCACTTGACGTCGTATAAAACTTCACACGACAACTGTAGAAGTTCAGGGCAATAGTTGGAGTGGTTTGACTCTTATTGAATTGGCCATCTTCGTGAGATTTATCTTCTGTTAGTTGTATAGGTTTATCTTGTTTTGGTTGTTTTTGTTTACTATATTGATTTCCTTCTCGTTCTTCAGTGCCTTCTTCTACTGAGGGTGGGCCACATGGTCTCTCCATATCTCCCTCCTTCAGTGCCTTCCTCTACTGAGGGTGGGCCACATGGTCTCTCCATATCACCCTCCTTTAGTGCTTTCCTCTACTCAGGGTGGGCCACATGGTCTCTCCATATCTCCCTCCTTTAGTGCTTTCCTCTACTCAGGGTGGGCCACATGGTCTCTCCATATCTCCCTTCTTCAGTACCTTCCTCTACTGAGGGTGCCCAAATGGTCTCTCCATATCTCCCTCCTTCAGTGCCTTCCTCTACTGAGGGTGGGCCACATGGTCTCTCCATATATCCCTCCTTCAGTGCCTTCCTCTACTGAGGGTGGGCCAAATGGTCTCTCCCTATCTCCCTCCTTCAGTGCCTTCCTCTACTGAGGGTGGGCCAAATGGTCTCTCCATATCCCCCTCCTTCAGTGTCTTCCACTACTGAGGGTGGGCCACATAGTCTCTCCATATCTCCCTCCTTCAGTGCCTTCCTCTACTGAGGGTGGGCCACATGGTCTCTCTATATCTTCCTTCTTCAATGTCTTCCTCTACTGAGGGTGGGCCACATGGTCTATGGCTAAATATAGATGGAAAGGCGCCCTATGCTTCTATGGATTAATTTCCTCCCGGAAAATTTTCCATCTATATTTTAGTCATAGATTTGGCCCAGCCACCTTGCCAGCAAAACACCTCTTTGGTAGATTGTGAAGATTCCATTGGATCCCGTGTGGATCTCATGGAATAAAGTCCGCCCTAGACTGACGAGGGCCATTAGCCCGAAACCATGGTCTCTAGGTGGACGCTTCTCAGTTTTTCAAAGCTGGTGTTGTGGCTTTGTCACCGACCCGAGGCCGCTAGTTGCGGCGACGGTCAATAGATGGCGTCAGGTTTTGACGGGAGTGGCGCCCTATGGATTAATTTCCTCCCGGCAAATTTTCCATCTATATTTTCCTTATTCAGTGAAGATTACGAATAAAAATAAGAGTTGAAAAAGGTAAAAATGGCAATTTATTTATGTAAAAAAAATCACACCTTATTTACATAAAAAAGAGAGACCACGAGAAAAATGTGTGTTACGTAATATATATATATTTAATTGATAATCTTTAGATAAAGAATCTGTATCTTGTGTTAATTAAGAAAAGGGCATCTTCTGATCGTAAAACTAAAATATACTGATGACTTGTGCCATCCGTCGTAATGAATATCAACTAATTGTTCTTTTTTAATTATTCCAGAATTGGCCAATAGTCTATCTTGATTGATCAAGAAAATCTAACCACGTACTCGTTCCAAGCTATTGACCCTCATCAGAGTGGTGCAGGCTGTATGTCAACGACCAAAAAAAGCTGGTCTTTGTGGCTTCCTGAAAAATCATGAATTGGGTATTTAAGGCTGTAAGCTTGCACCATGCTGATGAGGCTCAATAGCCGGAAACGCGTACGTGGTTAGCGTTTCTTGATTAATCAAGAAAGGCTATTTGGCCAACTCTGGAATAGGTAAAAATAAACGTTTAATTAATATTTATTCCGACAGATGGCGCAAGCCACCAGAAACTTTTAGTTTGTACACAATCTGAACATACCTTTTTCCTACTTTATCAACCTGATCTGAGTAAAATTTTACTTTTTTACGTATTTTTCTATATTTTTATACGTATTTGATATTTATAAATTCAATTGCCATCTATCAATAACATTTGTTCAAATAAATTTACTGGCAATGTGTTTATTTTCAATAACATCATCAAATATTATCTCTACAGACCTTACTGCAATGATGAAAGTTATTGAATGAGAGGGCTTGACTCATCAGTGGTGAACCCTCTCAGCGGTTTCGCCAAATTAATTTTCATACCGCTCTACTATTGTATTGGATTGGTATCAATAGTAGAGCGGTCTGGAGATTAATAAACTTACTGGAGGTTCACTAAACACCCCTAAGCTGCCTTCCATAGAAAATACAGGGTATATCCCAAACCAATTCAATACAAAAACAAGTCGGTGGACGAGTGGGTAACACCCTCGATTCCCGACAGTCATGAACCGGTATTGAATCCCGCGTTAAAATTTTGTTTAATATGTGTGAATAACCTTCACATATTATTCACTGTTTCAATTATCATGAACTAGGTTGCTCTTGCTGAGCGGTACCTATTAATGTGATTTTAAACCGATGAACCGATCCAATACAATAGTAGAGCGATCTGGAGATTAATTTGGGCAAACCGCTGAGAGGGTTCACTACTAATGAGCCAAGCCCTCTCATTCAATAACTTATATCATTGCAGTAAGGTCTGTAGAGATAATATTTGATGATATTATTAAAAAGGAACACATTTCCAGTAAATTAAAGGTTAAACTATTATATTTCATGTAACGTTTCGTTTACTTTCGTGATACCTAACGTATATACATTAATTCTATTATCTAATAACAACATTGAAACATACCACCTGTCTATTAACTTCCTGTGTAATCAGATGAATATTTAATTAATCATTGATTAATTCTATGAAAAGACACACAGCAACCCTGCTAAATGATCTCTAATTGGTTGAAACACGCGTTCAAACTAATGGAGATTTAACCAATAGCATTCACGTACACAATATACATAACAAATTAGATATAGAAGATTCTTCTCAGTAAGATATGTAGCGATTTAGCAAATTGAAAGAAGACAAGTTTCTTTAATTATTTAACGACGCAAGCTTTCAGGCAAAACCCCTTCAACAGGCAAGTTAAAGCATAAATACGATACTATGAACGTATACTTCATT